TCATCACGCATTATAGTGTATTCAAATTCTCGTCTAAGATTTTGAAGTTTCATAGACCTTACCTGATCCCCACCATGATATTCTCCATATAATAGATCCAACGTTGTTTTTGCTGAGTCTGTGTTTGCGATTCGAGGGAAGGTTTGTCATCTTTCATGAAGGTTGCAGCCATTTTCTCATCATCTTCACCATCAGTGTCTGTGTCTTCCTCTTTCTTCGTCTTCTTCTTCAAATCAAGAGTCGTAATCCCTTTCTCCACCAGATTCTATAGCCCATGTGACTTGAAAATGGTGACCATTTTTATTCTCCAGATCTTGTAGTTCTCACCGAAGAAGATCGGAGTCCGAACTTCAGCACTCCCAGATCTAGCCATCGCGAGCTTGAGTGTACCTAGAAACACATAGTTCTCAAATTACAAACAAACTCTGGCGAACTTCACCTGACCCTGAGCGAACCTAGAAAACCCAACGTCGGTAATGTTCGAATTCACAGTCCACGCCCAGTTCTAATCGCAACCTGACTCTGAGGCTATGTTAGATTGAATTGAGATATGCTACTTTTTAGTTGAGTGAATTCGAAGAAGAGTAAATAGCACACAAAGAAGAAATGGAAATGGTTGCTTCTTTCTGCAAGTCACAGATAAGCTATATGGATTCTCATAGATTGCTCTTTCACACCTTTTCACACACAAGTCGTGTAAGGAGAGATATTATCGTTAGAGAGAATGCTGGATCCCTCTATCTCTTAGCTTAGATCATAGCCACTCATCTAACTAATAATAAGAGTAAAGAAACACATGGCACTCATGGCATTTACAAATAAGAGTTTTACACTTGGCATTCTTTGCACAAGTGAATACACCATTTAAACCACAAAACTTATTCTAATTCTATTAGCTCACAACTTATAATTCAACACTTATAACTTCAAGTTTTTTGGAATTTGTATATTTTAGATTATGGGGATCTGTTGTAGTGGAAGGATATGGTGATCTTAAAACGAACTGATACTCTTGCTACTTTTCATTACGTTGATGCCAATAATTGTATTTCTCAATCCATCTACTTGGATCAAATGCTACAGCTGCCAACTATATATACAATAATAATTTAGTACTTTGTTTTATTGAATCAAATTGAAAGTATATATGGCTGGTGCCTTTAACATGGAAATCGCTATGGAACATTGTAGTCTAAAGGGTAGATTATAGACCAATGATGTTGATACTGAAAATAGTGGTGAAGTTATGGCTCATTCGTTTAGTTGTTACTGCTCCTATTCTTACTTTTAACTTAATGGCTGATGCCAATTCAAATTTGAATGAAGTTGAAGCTATGGAATGACTAAAGACCATTACGTGTGATTCTGCATTTGCTAATTTCTTATCCTTTGTAATACTGCATTTGCTAATTGGTAACATCTTATTGTTGTATTGAGCTTTGATATCACCCACCAGTAGGTAATATTGAAATCTGATGCCAATGGCTGGCTTTGTAAAATACTTTGCTAATTTGGACGTTGATTCTATTAGTCTGCCAAGTTTCTTATTATGTTGGTTTTTTTTTATGCAGGTGATGGTTATGCATTATGACAGAAAGCATTTTGACCAGACAAGTATCAAAATAGCATAGTTTTGAGTTTATTTGTTTAGTGAGATGTATTGTAAATACCTTTACTTACAATTCTATGTTAACATTGGGATGAATGAATATGGTATTATTCATCGATTTTGGTAGGCTGTGAAGAAGAAATGGAAATTTTCTTCCTCCGAATTTGTGGTCTAATGAGTTTGAGTTTTTAACAATTTTGGGACATTTGGGTTGCTGAACATTTCAATGTTTATAGATTTCTTAATTTTAGAGGCTTAGAGGGATTTTAGACCAAAAAGTGAGAAAGTTGGATGAACTGATTCTGAATTCCTAAGTTGTAGTTGAAAGCACTATTTGTTTTTACAAATTGTAATGCTACAATGCACAAAAACTCAATATTTGCTTTCGTTTCCAAGCAATTGCCGTTAAGTACTCTTACTGTAATTATATCATTTGATTTGACTATGGGTATTTTGCGGTTGAGTTGGATGTAATTCTATTGTTTAAATTTGCTATTTCACTATTTTTCATTATCCTAATTATTAGTCCGACATTGCATCAAACTGCTTCACTAAGTCAGTCCAGTTTAGTCTATTATAAGCCAGTCCAACTTAATTCCTGAAGCTAGTCTAGTCCGAGATAGTCTGGTGTAACAAACGCACCTTTAGGCCTCGTTTGGCAACTCAGGACTGTACTGATTATTTCTGTTGGATAGGATAAATAGCCACCAAATAGTACTGACTAAATTAGTCGAGCGTTTGGTGCAGTATTGGACTAATGACCGTATTATTTATACTGTGTTTAGGACTAAACCAGATAAGAAAGGGGAAGAAAAAAAAATTGACAAGTTTCACATCTCAAACACTGATCATACTTCTCATTCAAGTTGTAGAACGCATCAATCTCTATAAAAAATAAAAAATAAAAAACATTTGCCTGAATTCTCACAAACTCTTTTTCATGCTCATGAAGATGATGAGTTTCACATCTTAAACACTGATCATACTTCTCATTCAAGTTGGCCTTCTTCCAATGTTGCTTCATTGCAGGGTTTTCTTCCAATGGATGCCAATCTCATCACCCAAACATGCAGAGTCTGTCCTCTTTCTCTTCCACTTGGTGGGGTGGGATCGAAATTCCAGAAAAGGGTTCAAAGGTTTTGGATCAAAGAATCGCAGGAATTCAAGAAAAAAGGAAATGGCCTTGAGAGCTTCGAGTCTAAGGTATTCGACCCCAACAATAAACCCTAAATTCGAAAATTTTAATTAAAACACAAAATTACATAATCAATTGCATAATTATAGATAAAACAATAACTAGATTCAAACAATTGAAAGAAAATTGCAAGAAAAATAGGAGGGGAAAGAACAGAGGGAGGGGTGGAACCTGGGAAAAAGAAGAAGAATGAGAAGACAAACCTGGGAGCGGTGCGTCTATAGAGAATCGGTGCGGCTAAAGAGGAAGGAGAGAGCGAGAGATTTTCTTGTACTGTCTGGAGAGGAAGAGAGAGCGAGAGTGCGCTTTTAGGAGGAAGGAGAAAGCGAGGGTACATTCTCAAGAAGCCGACTAAATTGTACCGTGGTTTTAAAGGGGATAAGGAAAAAGGTGCTTACCGTATAAAGTAAGTGGGCCCAAGTTATTTAATCGGTGGCTATCTAATACGAACGAACACCAAACACCGTACTCAGTATTATTAATTCTATCCGGTATCCTATTTGGTGTACCAAACACGACCTTAGGGTTAAATGTAGCCTGAAGCCCTTCGACGGAGATGGCGTAAGAAGCCTGGTAATATCCCATTAATATAAGAATCAACGTGCAAAACGTCATCACACTAAAATACGGTTCGACTGTGCAATTGATATCCTCGATTAGAAGTAAACTTGGATCTGCCTTATTAAAGTTAAATGAATATGCATGCAGCTGCCCAACATTAAATTACTACATTGAACTCCCAAGTCCCCGAGTACATATAATAATGGACTAATTAAACATGATTAAACTAAATTAATATTTACAGAAGGCCCACATGGTGATGAAATTAAATATGAGTGGAAATGGTGCCAACCAGAATTTTGATGAAGATTTGGTACATGTTGTAAATTAAAGAGACCTTAGTGAAGATATTGGAAAGCGTGACTGTGGATGATTAGCTACGCTTTGTTGATGATTAGTTAAGCTCTGATGGGAAACGTGACTGTTCATGATTAGTTAAAGATTGAGGTAGAGATAGAGAAATTTTTTATTATGACAGGAACACAAATGACATATCATGTGTTTTAATAAAAGTGATAGAAAATTTTATTTTTTAAGTTATTAACTTTTTAGCACACATATTCCACTGTTTGTATAATGACACATATTCCGTTTACTGATCACATTGAAAAATCTCTCGCAGAGATGAGGATCTCAGTCATTGAATATTTATGCTGATGCCATGTGGTGTGGGATGATTTGGATTCAGCTCTGATAACTGTGTCCGTTGTTTCTGTTATTTGGAACCCAGTTTATGCCATAGAGAATCTATGATATATAATTATCGATTTTTGTTGTAGTTTTATAATTTACAGTACTGGCAAATCTTTCATACATGAGATTCCACCAAACATGAGATTTGAGAACAATGCCATGCTTGTGCATTAACAAGTAATTTTCTAACAATGTCATGTACCTAATTGGTACATGAGAGATACATATATGATCTCTTGTCCAACTGTGAACATAAACTATAAGTCATATATCCGTTTATTTAACAATTTAAGTCTGAAAAAAAAAAAATATACATTGGATTTTTATCGATGGTTGAGGTTAAATGCTTAGGTAAGATTAGAAAAAAGAAACTGATACGTGCTAATTATGTTTCTCCTCATTCATTATTCACACATTTATACATGCGGATACACACACACACACACACACATTTATATATGCGGATTTATATATATACACACACATATACCATCATGTACGTGTATATCAAAGCATATAAGTGAGAGAAACAAAAGATACTCTACTATTATTGGTAGAATCTTATTTAGTAATAAAGTAAATTATTACTCCACAACCCTTAAGTGTTTGGCCTTCAAGTGGCACCTAAGCTTTATTACCCTACTAATTTTTTTATGTTCGGATTACCGTTGAAGTACCATTAAATTACAACATGTATTTTATTTTAAAGTAGTACAAACATAATTTCGTAGTCTTTTCATTATAACACGTGAAATAATAACACTTCATACTGCTACTTTCAATGCACAAAAATTAATCCTGCTAAAGGCATTCACATGCATGCGCACATATATATATGTCCCTGCACATCACCATGTGGAGTAGTCTAAGGCTCTAATCAATCAAACACGGTCCAAAGCTAGACTGTTGTTGTGTTTGAACTGAGAGAGAGAGAGAGAGAGAGAGAGAGAGAGAGAGAGAGAGAGAGAGAGATGGGGAGAAAACCTTGCTGTGATAAAGAAGGGCTAAACAAGGGAGCATGGTCAGCTTGGGAAGATAAAGCCCTTACCAACTACATTGAAACAAATGGAGAAGGAAAATGGCGAGACCTTCCTCAAAGAGCTGGTGTGTTTAATTGTGTGCCTATATACTTACATATTTAGATTTACAATATTTATTTTTTAAATTTTTTTTGGTTCATATATATATATATATATATACACTTTCAATTAGGGTTCAAATTAACATTAATTATTTTACTGCAGGACTAAACCGGTGTGGAAAGAGCTGTAGACTGCGATGGTTGAATTATCTTAGGCCTGGCATTAAGAGAGGTAACATTTCCAGTGAAGAAGAGGAGCTCATCATTAGACTGCACAAGCTTCTTGGAAACAGGTATGTATGTTTGCGTGCATGGAAGATTGAGTTCAACTCCATTTTTATGTGTGATTATGGTGTTCCTCAATTCAATTCTGATTGTCGGTCATCTTTTGGCGTCAACAACATCTATTTGAACATTAATATTGAAGAAATAACAAGATAGAAGATTAGGTGTTGTTAGGTCTTTTGGATTAGAACCAATGGAGAAATTTTTAGTGTGCCGGAAAACATGTCCGTCGCCATCTATATTTATTAAATTGAGGAAGGAATTTAAAAAATAAGAAAAAGTGGGAGGGCATAATGAACATTACTCTTCATAGACAAATAAAGCTCACTAGAACAAATACATACAGTAGACCTAAAGAAAGAAAAACATGCCACAATAAGGATAGAGAAAATGGAAGCCAGTATATATCCATACTCATTAAAGTAGATATATTTTTTGAAACAAGATTAACTTCTGAATTTTTACATGTTATGGTGGTGTATGTATTTCATCAGGTGGTCATTGATCGCTGGAAGATTGCCGGGGCGAACAGACAATGAGATCAAGAACTACTGGAACACCAGTCTGAGTAAGAAAACGGAACAAGGAAGTGACAAGGCTCCTCATGAGCGTAGTAGTACTGCTAAGTCAAACGAGTACACACCAAAACCGAAATCAGAACCAAAGTCACATCGGACGGTCCAGGTGATTCGAACAAAAGCATTTAAGTGCAGGAAGGTTGTCATCCCATCACATTTGGACGGTCACGATCAAATGGTTGATAGATCAAATGTAAACCCTGGTTTGGTCCCGTGTGAAAGCCCTAGTCCATCAGGGGCTCAGGATCATCAGGAGGACTCACCGCTGTGTGGTATGCTAATCGATTTCAATATCGATGACCTCATATCTGATTTGCTAAACACAGATAAATTTCTTCAAGATCAAATCAATAAATGTGATCAAGAAATGGAAGACGGAATCACCAAGCTTGAAGATTTGACGGGTGAAGCAATGCTGGAAAATTGGACGGCTACTGATCATGATCATCACGATGACCCGATATTTCAGCCAAATGATGATCAAGATCGTGTCGACCGCCTCAATGCAATTTCATATTTTCTGAATTCTGACGACGGTGATGAAAAGTGAAGGCATTAAAAATCGATCAAATCCTAGCTAATGTTAATGTTGACAATAAAACATTCCTTTAAGAGAAATCCATTTTAGTTATTAGTTTCTGGTTTGATTTCCGTCGGTCAATAAGTGGGAGACATGTACTTTCTTTTTTGGTATGACTAGTTTCAGAACTTATATGGAGTACAATGCACATGTGAGCATGCTGAACACATACCATGCACATGCATGTGAGCATACAAAACACGTACGTGTCTCCAAAATTGTTTGTATATTTGCTTGCCAAGCCGCGGGTGCGACTATAAAAAAGAGTAATATTAGGTAGATTAAATTTTTTAATCAAATTCACAAATCATATGATATGTCACCGATAGAAAATAAGCACGCCAATCAACACATAAATAATAATTCAATCATTAATAACCAAGTCATATGATTTTAAAATTTTGATTTAAAAAGCTAGTCTCCCTCTAGCATTACCTAAAGGAAACAAAGTATTTGGGATATTAATTTGCTCAAAACGTAACATGTGAGCTTCAAAGTTATAACACTTTATACTTCAAATGCATTAGAATTAGGGATCGTGCTACATAATTTTATCTAAAGACAAAATCCTTATACACTTGTTGATACATATATATATATATGTATATGTATATGTGTGTGTGTATATATATACATATGTATATGTATGTATATTCAGGGCGGATGTTAATAAAAGCTAGAGGGGGCACGTGCCCTCTCAAGTTTTCGGATGGGGGAGATTGTGGTCTTAGCATGAACCAAGGCTCCGCTAAAATTGCAGTCACCTTCCATCACTCAATTTGATGTTGAATCGAACTAGGACAAATAATAATCAAATATCACCACAACCAGCAACTTTATCACTTGCTTCTCATTCAAAACTCCCAAAAGACGAATATAACACAAAATTGTTTAGTTATAGAGTTGATTCTGGCAGCTCATGAAGAAAAAATCCTTCTTCCCATATGGCTAATAAATTTAACCTCCCAGCCCTATGCATATTTAATTTATCTATTTGTTCACTATAATAATATTGGTCATAAGGACACAATTAAAATGGCACAAAGGGGAGGGATGTACGCTAAGCAGACAATAGGTATATAAGTTGGCCAAGTGTTCGACAAAACGTCTCACTTAAAATAAAAGAAAAAAGAAAAAAAAAAAGAAGGTTTGCGTTGGATGCACTCTTTTTGGAATTCGACATTATTGCTTAGTTGTGGACCCCGCCCCACCCCCCCCCAAAAAAAAAAAAAAAGTCATTTTTAGTTTCGCCTGTGTGTACGTTGAGTTTCAAATTGAACGTATTGAAAAAAATCAATAGATAAAAATTAACAAGAGTGTAAGAGGTAAAAAAAAAAACATGATAGCATTGTTTATGCACATTGATCAAATCATATGATTACAGAAATACGCGATGCATGCACCTTATCATCGTATATATTGCTAAAATACACACTGGCGGAACAACAACTAGACTACTTCGGCCTGGCTATACCCCATGTAGCTTCACATAGAAAAGGAAAATCTTGCTTACATTACAATCTAGAATAATTAGTTTTGTCTCTTTTCACTTTTGTCTCATTTCTCTTCTTCTACATACTTGTAGTTCTTGACAAATTCAAGGATTTTTAATACATTTGTCTGTTAAAGTTCAACGGAAGCAAAGTAATGGACTAATTTCTTTTCAAATTTCACACATCTCTGTTTTCATAATTAATCGTAAACAAGAAAAGACATCAAGCTAGTCCATCCTGTGATAAATTCCTAGTTTTGCCCTTGAAAAAGTTCTAATGCAAGTATATAATAATGTACGCACGTGAAAAAATTCAGCAAAAATCATCACTTCATTTGTTGTTCTTGTTTTTTGTTTTTTTTTTCATGAAAATGGACGAGAATCCCATAGGTACAGGAACGTAGGATCCAAGTTGATGACAATGGATATCCAATGACAATATTGTACCTCTGCATGAAGCCTCGTGGTCCAGGCCGGGACCAGGCTACAACAGCACCATCCGACTTTCAATATATACCATAAGAATGGACGTTGAGGAGGTAGTTTCGAATAACATGTGCGACTATTATGCTCGAGATAAGATAACTTATAATAATTATGTACGATTATTGGACATTATCAAGCATAACAAATTTGAGTGCTCCGGAGTACTAAGTCTTTAGGTATTTTAGCAGTTAAATTCTAATTTTATATATTTAAACATAAATTTAATAGAAAATTTTATTTGAACTCATTTAATCTTTTTCTATACCCAATTTAAATTTAAATTGTTAATTGTCTATTTTACCCTATTGCATAATTACTATTAAGTATTTGGGTTTCAATTTTTTTCATCAATCACGAATGGTTTGTTAAACTTTCTGCAATTGGAAAATTATAAGAAAAAACTCATTACCAATGTTCTTAGATTATATACATCCTTGCTTATTGATAAATATAAGGGGATGAATTGTTTGATTTGTTGTTTATGCACATTGGTAGAAAGAAAAATGGTAAATGTCTAGGTTTGGTAGCAGAAAGAAAAAATAAAAGAAAAGAAAAAAAAAAGAGCCATGGAAATGCTAGTGGGAAGAAAAGAGAGGGGGGGGGGAGGATGCCTCTTTTTTTTTTTAAAAAAAAAAATCAATTACAAATGTTATTTTATAAAAGGAATGGGTGTAAAGATATTGAATTGAGTTTGTGAATGTAGTTTATGTAATAAATTTGAGTTTAAAGAAAGAATAATTATTTAATAAAAAATAATATGAGCAAAAAAAGTAAGTTGTGTATAAAAAGATATTATATGTATTCAAATAAATTTTTCAAATTTAATAGTTAAAACCTCCGGAATATTCGGTATTCCAAAAGTCATGAATAGACCATAGATTGCACGACCCGTTTCAGTCATCAGCTCCAGTAATTCCTGTTAATTTGGAATCTTGTCCTCCCGTCCATACATGTCAATGGCTTCCCACGATTGATCACAATTATCCAACCATTCATTACTCTCTCTCTCTCATGAAGACCATTCAATCATCACGTGTCAATAACAACCTAGAAGTTTTTTTTTTTTTTTTTTTTTTTTTTTTTTGAACAAAAGATAATATACAACCTAAAAGTTTTTCGATAATAAGGATATTCAAAATAAATCATACATTAATGGAGGAAAGATTTTGCATAAGTTTTTAAGTAAGTTGAGCTATTTATTATATTGTTCAATTGGTTTTATGACAAAACTTCAACTTTTTTCATGGTATTAGAGTAGATTATTGACACACTATTAGGGACGTGTTGAGAATAAATTCCATATTAGTGGTTGGAAGGACCCTTACATGGACTTATTAGAAAGTTGAGTCACTTTCTATATTACCTAATTCGGTTTATAGTGAAACTTCATTCGAAAGAAATGTGTATATTTTTGGCAAGATTACTTCTCTCATTGTGTGATCAATGCATTCATTTTACAACTAAAGTATTTTGGAACATTCAAAATGTTCCTAATAAAATTCTAAAAATGTTATCATACACTTCTTTCTTGTAGGAATATATATATATATATATATATATGCGCGCACGCGCGTACACTTCTTTTTCTATCTTCTACTAAAAACTCCCTGAAACCTTCACATTCTTCCAGCCTTATTTTCCATCTTTCCCACCGATTTGGGTTGATTATTTGTGAGCCCACAGCTCTGTCTCTCTGTAGTTGTTGTGAGTCTATTTAACCACATTGGCGTCTCTGTGTTAACTGGTGGAATTAATGTTTCAAACCAAAGTTTTCCAATGTCCCATCATTGTTAATTGGTCAAAGACTGAACTGATTTTGTTTGAAATTTAAATTCCATGGTGCATCAAATGATGACAAGTAGCTAATTTCCTAGTTTTCTAATTTGGAATTTTATGTTGCCATATGATATGCATGTATATGATATGGACCATTTGATTAAAATTGTAAATATTTTATTCATGCACCTCTTATGTATGTTTTTTTTCTCTCTCGTCGACATAAAAGAAAAAACGAGAATAAAAAAAGGTGCATGAAACAGTAAGACTACCGTTACCTCTTTGTATATGACTTTGACATACACAATAATACCAACCACTCCTATTAAGATTAAATTACACAACTACGTCTAAAACACTTACAAGCTTAAACTACATTTCATGTAAAAAAATAGTAATTGACTTGACAGCCGATAATTACGTCTTTATTTGTTGTTTATATAGTATCTCATTCCTATATGTATTTGTAGGAATCACCGTTTTCAAAACATCAAATACAGTTAGATTAAATACGATGATATTTCAAGAAAAAAAAAAGAGCAAAAAAAAAGAGCCACAATCATGAAGCATATTATTTGGACTCACCAAAAAGTTCTTTGTCAAGTTTCACATCATAATCTCTGGCTTCAATTACTAATGGAGCCGCCTTGGTCTTCTTGATCTCGACTTGCTTGTAGATATACTTCAACCCACGTTTAAGGAAGTATTTGAGAGAAAGAGAAGGCAATTTCAAAACAAATTTGTTCGATTGACTTGTACTTGTTCTTTTCTCTAAAAATAAGAAAGATCCGATGAAAAAGTGAAGGATTTCTTTATTAACACTAAAAGAAAGCGTTTCATCAATTAAAACTTTCTCTCCCTACACTCTTTTCTCCTCACTTACATTGTCACATCAAGTGACCCTTTATCGTAGCAGTGAAAATGTATTGAACCTTTACATTATAACGTGGGTTCAAATCCCGTCGATAACTAACCTAATATTTAATCAACAAAAACTATCGTTTGACAAAAAAATAAAAAATAAAAACTTTAAATTGTCGAAAAATCGATAAATAATGTGTACCCTTAATCACTTTTTGGGGCCTAAAACAAAGATACAAGGGTAAAGTACAAAAAACTACCTCAACTATTGGGGTCACGACAGTTTCATACCTCATCTTTTAAAATTGGCAATGTCATACCGTATCTTATGAATTTGTGACAATGTCATACCTCCGTCAATTTTTCTGTTAAGTGCTGACGTGGCTTGAATCGGGACATACTTTCTATTAAAAAATTATTA